TTAGAGGCTAGCATCAAGGGGCTTGTGTAGATCCGGAATCTACCTTAGTTTTGGGTACATCTCAGAGGTAAGGAGCCATTATCCTAAGCTATTTCCTTTTTGGTTCATCCTTGGTGGTTGATTTGGAGTTCCTTGGCTTGTTTGAGATCTATTTCAGGTTTGGAGTTTAGATCTGGGGTTGCTACTCCAGATCTAGGCTTGTGATGGTCCAAAATGTCATAAAGCTTCAATTTAAGAGTTGTTGGTGAAGCCCCCTAGTCCTTAGCCCTAGCCCTAGTGTGCTTTGGGCCTATACCTCCTTGGTTTCACGTAAAGTTTGCAACTTTATGTGAGGGTTAGAATGTAGAAGAGTGGATCTATGGATTGGAGCCCCTGCATGGCTCGAAAAGCCTCTGTATGGATTGAGAACTGGAGAGACTCGGCGAGTCACATGGGTGTACTCGACGAGTTGTATGAAGATTGCCTTGGACCCGACGAGTTGGAAGAACAACTCGGCGAGTCTGTTGAAGATTGCCTTGGACTCGGCGACTCTGTTCTTGGACTCGGCGAGTCTGGTCGCAGAACCTAACCTTTCTGGTTAAGACGCAGATCAGTGAGTCGAGGGGTCACTCAGTGAGTTGGACAGGATGGGACTCGGAGATCGTTGGACTCGACGAGTCTTGGGGTGACTCGGCGAGTTGAGTTGTGTTCTAAGAGTTTTCAGAGTATAAGGACTCGACGAGTCAACGGGTTGACTCGGCGAGTAGGGTTAGTCAGGAAGTTTGACTTTGGCATGGACTTTGACTTTGACCTTCAAGGGTGTTATGGTAATTGGTTATTTATGTCAATGGTCCATTGATGGTAATAGGTGTTGGAGTTTGGAGCAGTGCTTCGGATGTGTGCTTCCGTGGTTCGGTTCTTCATTTCAGGTGAGTTATCCTCACTATATCGACAGGGTCTACGGCACCAAGGCTGGCCCTTTATCGGATGGAAATCCGGGTATTGTTGTTATGTTATTGCTTTTCTAGATCTGCATCCTGGTATTTAGGATGGTGTTATGTTAGTGACCTGGTTAAGGTCGATACCCGGTATATAGGGTAATGCTATGCTAGTGACCGGTTAGGTCGGAATCCTGGTTAGGATGTTGATATGCTATGTGATCTGTTAGACTGATAGTCTAGTTAAGGATTTGTTATGTGATGAATTGTTTTATGTGCACATGGTTGTTTGACGGGGGTTGGGTTGAGGCGGGTCCTGCTTTGTGCTGTAGGCCAACATACCCAGGGCGGACCGGATATTCCGAAGGCCCAGCGAGCGGTCCGGATAGGCTGAAGGCTCCAAGAGAGCGGACCAGACATGCCAAGGCTCGGAGAGTGGACCAGGCCGACTGAAGGCCCGGTGTGGGCGGACCAGTCATACTGTAGACTCAGAGAGTGGACCAGGTGGATTGAAGGCCCGGTGCGGGCGGACCAATCACACTGTAGACTCGATGTACATGGCTGGACTCGGAGGGTGGACCAGGTGGACTGAAGGCCCGGTGCGGGCCGACCTGTCACACAGTAGACCCGATGTGCATGGCTGTTCTATTTGTGATTTGTTATGAGTATGTTTATGTGTGGTTGGTATTTTGGGGGTAACTCACTAAGCTTTCGGGCTTACAATTTAGTGTATTGTTTCAGGTACTTCAGGAGATCGTGGCAAGGCGAAGGCGTGATCGTACCGCTCCTCATGTTTTATGATTTATGTGATATGGTCCTGGGGGATACTCTGATGTTTAAACTATTTTGAAAACGAGATGTATGAACTTAATGGTTTTTGAATGAATTAAAATGTTTTAATTTGGCTCAATTTTTATGGGTGTTACAAAAAGAGACAAATTCTTCATGTATCCAATATTCCTTCAAGTGATCATCAATGAGCAATACCCAGAGATTAAGAAAGCAGGAGAAACACTTGATATGAAATCTCTTGTATCAAACACTGTTGGTTTAATCAAACAAAACCGTCAGGGTAAAGTCATGTTTCAAGGAAAATATCCTTTGCTGAAGTTTGGAGCATTTACGGAGCTAAGTGATTCATCTGAGTCTGAAGAGTCCTCTGAACATTTGGAATTTGAAGATGATGTGATTACTGTCTCTGACCATGAAGATGAGAGAGTTCCTCCTGTTGCAATTGTAGCAGAGGAACATGATAATATGGTTAATGTGGAAGTGCAGAGTGACTTTCATGAGAGTGTAAATACTGGTGATCATGGTGGTGAAGAAGAGGGATTTGAAGATGATGATTTAATTTTTGGAGGAGATATGTCTGGGCCATGCAATTTCAACATGTCAGGACCAAATCATTTTGACTTGAACTTCGGATTTGGGAATGATTATTGCCCTACAAAAGAGGACCTTGACATGTTCTTTGACAATGTCCATGAAGTTGCTCAACCGGCAACGGAGACACAGGAAGTGGAAAAATGTTCAAGAAGCTATGCCTCCTTCCTCTGCACAAATGGCCAGTACTCTAATTGATACAGATACAACATCAAGGCTTCCTCCCCTTAATGTTGATGTTCCAACTTCTACGCCATTTGTGAGTGATTCGCGTGTGACACACACCTACCAGCCTCCATTGAAGCGAAGAAGACATGATCCGAGGCTGGGGGTACTAATTCAGGAACATACCTCTCCCATTCAGCCTGCAATCACAACATCAACTACTACTCCAACCGTTTCAACTGCTTCTGATCATGAAGGACCAAGAACCATCTTTGAAGCAGGGAGTGCTTCAGCTCTTGGAGGCTCCTCCCTTCCAAGGCCTGATCATGACATCGCCTCTGAAAGACTTGCTCAGGCCTTGGCAACACAAGAAACAACAGGCCTTCCTCCTCGCGGAAAAGGCATATCTATTGAGGAAGGTAGATCCGGGGGAGTTGAACCTTCCAACACAGAGCTCAAGGTTGAGATTGCTGTGTTGAAACAGACGATCATCGAAAAAGATGTTTTGATAGTTAATCTTGACATTCATCTTTCAGATGTTGAAGCTGACAATAGGGCCAAGACAAAGCAAATAACTGATCTCCAAACTCACCTTGGAGCTCTGACTGCATGCTACTATAACTCGAAAAATAAAGTTTATGAAGAATTTGGTGACAAATTCAAGTCATCAGTGGATCTGTCTGCAGCCACTGAAGGTCTTACTAGTGTCCCTGTCCAGCCCTCTCAAAATTACAACCCTGTGGATCCTCCACCTTACAGAACCACACGAATTGTCGATCGATTCAAAACTAAGCTTGTCAATGCCAATCGTCGAATTACTATCAAGCATGCTAAGAGAAAAGTTACTGCTAAAAAGAAAGAAGGATGGCTGTTTATGAAGAACTCTAATGATAATCGAAGTGCAGACCAACATTAATTCACAGTGACTGATCTTGAACAATGGAGGTTTGGTGACTAGTATGGCAATCGATCGGGAATTAAGATGTGGGGATATCATGCTGACTTAAAATTGTGGTTTGTGAAGAGGAACGTTGGCCATACTGAATACTACAAGAGTACACACGACTTTAGTTCTTGGACAAAAGTCGATCTTACGGAACTCTCAGATGCTCCATTCCACAATCCCTCCAAGGACCCTCAGGCTTTCAATTTCAAATTCTTTTTGGAGCGGCAGGTCAAAGAAAAATTTTCTGGGATGACGACAGCTAACTCTATGATTAGAATAGATCCGGAGGTGCTCGATCCCAAAACAAACGAGCCAATGAAGATAGTGTTGTGGCCTCCTACTAAACAACTGAAAGAAATTCCAATTCCTCAACACTTTCACAATGGATATCTGGATCGGATGGAATTCTGGGCTTACGATGAGGCTACAGCTACAGTAGCAATCAAGTTTTCAGACAGTGATATTGTCTGTCGACTTGTTGATTCTAAAGATCTTTTGAGGCTCAGGGAGAGAGATATTCACACCTTAGCAAAACATCAAAATATTTGCAAGTAGGATGTTATGGAGCCTGCTGCCAAAGAGTTCACGGCCATGGTTGCTAAGATAATTGACAAGAGGCTATGGATGGGGCCAATAGATAGATCGGATGTGAGGCTGCTAGAGAACCCATGATAAAAGAAGACTGAGCTTATGCTAGCCACAAACCAAGGGGGAGATTGATAGGTCATAGATTAGTGGTTTTGGCTAGGCAATCATTTGTATAAGTCTTATAGGGTCTTGGTCGTGTTAGAGGTGTTTTGAAGCTTGTTGGTGTGTGTTTACGGCTGAGTTGGTGTTCACGGCCGTAAACAGGTTTACGACTGTGAACTTGTTTACGGCCAGTCTGTCCCTATAAATAGTTTGTGTCAGAGTCTGTCAGCAGTGACGTATCCATAGTGTTTACGGTCAACGGTGTGTGTTTCTCAAGGAGTACCACATGTTCTTCCTTAATAGACGTGTGCATTGCTTGATAATTCTCTTCTTCTACTCATTCTTGTTGTTGATTGTTTTGATCACTGGTTTGGATCTTGTAATTGAGACCTTACAACATATGGTCAAGAGGAAGTACCTGATCTGGATCCATGGCAGCAAAAAGCTTTGATGCAACTGCTATATCTAAGAGAGAAAGAGTAGCATGTACTTCATCGATAAAAGAAAAATAAGGAAACCATTTTTGACTATTTTACCCTTCTCAATCCTCTTCAACCAGAAAATAAGATTAGATTTGAGCAGCATGCACTTGTGATGATTTGATTTTATTGGAGCTGCTTCTGCTTACTGCTTAGTGCTTAGAGAAAGAGAAAGAGAAAGAATGTAGAATGGAACAAACTTTCCTATCTATTTAGCAAAACAAGCCACAATAAAATAAATAAATAAATAAATAAAAATTCATGGCACGACCTTTGTTAAATTCAAATCCTCATGTAGAAACCACCACGACCCATTCTTGTTTAACAATTTAAACAAAAACACAAAGTTAGCTCTCTCTCTCTCTCTCAAAGAAGATGAAATTACCGATATACCCTTTGTCATGTCATGAAATCACACAATTACCTGATAAGCCCTGCCAACATTCGTAATCCCATGAAGAGGGTCAAACCCGACCAAACACCATGAAGACCAAAACCCGAGGGAGCATAGAAATGAAAAGCAGACGATAAAATCCCAACAAGCATCTACAGTGAAAAACATATTAATCAAAGTGCAAATACGTAATTTTATATTCATGTCTAAAAAAAAATCATACCATGGAATAAGCAGCATACGGGAAGTCTGAAACTCCATAATGCAAACCATCAACAATAAAAGCCAAAGCATTCAAAGGCTGACTAGAACTCACAAACTTTTTTCACAAAAAAAAAACGCATCAGAAATGTATATATATATATATATATATATATATATATATATATATATATATATATATATATATATATATATATATATAAAATAAAAACAAGGGTATTATAGAGATTTTACCAAAACCCTGGTTATAGCAATCGCCAATACTCCAATGTCCTTAGTGAATAGTGTGACTATGGAACCAAATGAAACTCCCAATATTGCACCCAAAGTAACACCCATCACTAAACCAATCTAAAGAAAATAATAAACATTACCTTTTTGTAAAATAAAAACATCTTTATATATTATATAAAGAATATAATTATTAATTAACATTACAGTCAACACGAAGTATCTGATATCCTTCACGGATCTATAATCCCCTTTTGACACCGAACTAGCAATCAACGTCTAAAAGAAAACAAAACAAAAAATGGTTAAGAAGTCAACTAACTGACAAATAGTCAAACATTTCCCTTAAACTATATGTCAAGTCAAGTCAAGTCAAGTCAAAGTCAACATTTGGTGAATTTATACCTGACCAGATGCAGCCAATGCATCTGTAATAAAAGAAACAGCAAACCAAACTTGCAGACATATCTGATGAAGCAGTAGAGTAGAGTACCTTGAGCATTTCGTTTTGTGCTGTCAGCAACTAGTCCCGCCCTTGCAACCGTACCATAGTCATCTTACCAGCAAGTATGACTGCTTCTTTCCTATCTATCTCTGAAATGCATCTGTAAAAAAACAAATAACATTATCCATATATCCCCTTACACTTTGCTTTGCTTTGCAACCTTTTTTTTTTCTTTTATAGAATGGAACAAACTTTCCTTCATTTGTTATAACATTGCACCATGCTACTTCTTGTTACAGCATTGTATTTTAAAAAATCTATCCACCTATAATGTCACCCAACTTTTTTTCTACAATAATTGGATAAACTTTTCAGACTATAATGCCCATGTCCTAATAACAAATAATTAAAATTATTATAACTGGGTAGATTTTGCCTGGATACCAAGAAAGAAATTTTTTTTTGAAGTAGAACGTTGCAATAAAAAGAAATCAACGTAGGATACATAAATAAATGAAACTAACAAAAACAAAAACACACACCTGTCTCTTTCTTCACGTAAATCATTGATTTGTTGCTTTAGTTTCCGAATCTCTTGCTCCTGTTTCAATTATTAAACATTATATTATTAAATTCAATTTCCAGCATATCTTCTTCACTCACACTCACAAACTAATTGACACTGACCATGGCTATGAACTCCTATGTTTGTCGAGTCGCATCCTCAATTGGTTTTTGAAGCTGCTTTTGGTTTATCAAGTTATACATCATTCACACCAACACACACACACACACATTATATTATATTACTCAAAATTAAAAACTCAAAATTAACTAACTCAAAACTTACTGCATATTTAGTTATGTCTAATTTCACACCAAGCAGATCCCTGGTCACATCATGTGACATACTCTCAACTGTCGCCAATTTGGTGTTTAGTATACATATATGTTAACACAATGTAACTTACATCATCATTCACAAATCACTAATATATATACATGGGTGCAACTGTGTGTTTGTGTGTGTAAGAGAAAGGATCTATATGAATTATTATATGATGATAACCTCTTTTTGTCGACTTGATGCTACTGATTCTAGCTCATGTAGACGAGCCTTGGCCAATGATAGTTCCTAATCATTCTCTGTGTTCATCTATTAGACTAAATTCCCAATACATCTGAATGGTGAACTACCCCTTCCTTTCACCAAGCTTTTTTCCAATAACTGTGCTTCTAAGCTAGACTTTGATGGACCTGTCTTCATTAAACTAGCCATTGCTTCCAACGACTTGTAATGTTCAAACAAATTGCATAATGAATTTTACTTTGTATGGTATTCTTATGCTTGCTGTTAATTCATAACATTCAGAAACAACGTAACAAAGTCATATGCTTTTCTACCTTCTGCTGATACTGTAAAGCTTGAGCTTCTGCATGGAACTAGATATATACTCTTTACATTGCTTCATCTGCAAAACAATTCCAAAAAATCAATCATACAAAAGCAGTCAAGCAACTACAGAAAGGTATTTGCACTTCTTTTATTTCCAAAAACCATGATTTTGTAATCAAGAATCGGAATTCAATAATCGCAAAAAAAAAAATGAAATCTGATTTTTGATGTTCTGGAAATTAAATTGAATGAAAATTGTGATGCAAGGGAAGCCAAATATAGGCCAAATTACATAGTATAAACTCAATTTTAAAGGCTCGCTCATAATGCGATCGAATAAAGAGAGAAATGCACGCCAATTAATTGACTTTTCAAATTCCCAATCACGTACCCAATCGATTGCAAATAAGTTTTGGAATCAAGGAAGCTGTGATCCAAATAGCATCAGGTACGATTGAATTGCAATTTTGGAATGCCAATTTCAGGTTTAGAAACGCGATCCCGAGCATCCCAGGTACACGTTCGTACCGCGTTTTGGTACAGACAAATTGGTACGTAGATCGCAACTCACCCAACGATTTATGTGACTTTGCTCCAAAAATCTCCTTAACTACTGTGCTGCCATTAAAGCCATCACCTCCTCCATTGCTGACATACTTCAGTCTTTGCTGCTGCAACTTCTTCAGACGAAGACATGTGGTATGACAAGAATCAATGACGTACCGAAGGAATTCATGTGCATCCTCTTGCCTCCCTAAACGAAAATGCTCAGTAAAGACTTTCAATCCCCCAATGATCTTACCAGCTGTATCTAGGGTTGAGTCGATGCTAAGAGATCGAACAATTTTCTTCTGTACTAGACAAAACGGACAATCACTCTTCTTGTCCTGCTGCGCTAGGAACTCGCCCGTCGAATTAGGGAAATTTATGTTAACGAAGTGGAACAATTTATCGAACGTAATGACAAAATTAGGTTAAAATTCATGAAAACTTAGATACGCGAGTGTGTGTGTGTGTGTATGTGAGTAAGTAGAAGAAGAGCACATACAGTTTTCGGAGTGTTGAAGTCGGAGACAGAAATTGGCGAGGGGAGGAGTATAGGTTAAGCTCTGGAGAACGGAGTTGAGGTAGCAGGTATTACCAAGATTCTTGAACCCTAATGGAGGACCTTTCTTTCGTTTTTTCAACAACAAACTTGTTTGCCAAGTCATTTGCAATTGGAAACAAGCAATTAACAGCGAGGACCTCTCGCTCCTGATTCACTCGCTGCATTGAAAATATCGATCTTCTACACACCAAATACCAATTCAGAAAAATCTCATATCGAAGTCAAAAATATGATTTCAGGAACTTCACAACTAAAAATCGAATATCTGGAACCTACACAATGCTTTTAGGGTTTCTTTTGATCGAAGAGGATTTCACAACATACGAAGAAGAAGGAGGAGACTATCAGGGGGGTTTTCAATTTTTTGTATTTGATTCCCCCCTTGGCAATTAAAAAATTGAAGAACGTGTGTTGATGAAAAAAAAATTATAAAACGAGAGTTCTATACGACACACTTTTTTATAGTAGGTGCCCTCCGTGTTTTAATTTTTTTTGTTGGACACTAATTTTAGGGCACACATAAATGTGCGTCCTCTATGCTTCATATTTTGGAAAACTGACATCATTTTTTAGGGCACGCACAAATGCGTGTCCTCTATCAGCGTGTGTCATTGATTGTGCGTCGTAAAAGGCTGTTTTTCTAGTAGTGTCGCAGAAAAAATGCATACCACAGGGACCATTTTTGCAGTTTTGTCTAAATGAACTGTGTTGTTTTTACGGTGCAAAGTCACTATTGGATGTCGTTTGTGCTTACCCTCTTGTATTGTGTAATAAGTTGTCTTTCCTTTATAAGGAAGTGAGTGACACTCATTTTATGTAAGGAACATTTGTAAGAGATTAGTTTTAGAGAGAGAAATATTGCAAACCCATTTGTACTCTTTCTAACAAAAACTAATGAGAGCTTAAACCCATATTTATTTACTCTCTTGTGTTCTTCATGTTCATGCTTCTTACAATGATTCACTAGATCATTTCATATTCCGCATATGTCATCATAATCAACACCACTACAATTGGTATCAGAGCGGGTATTCTTGACTTGATCAAGAATTGATCCATGATGACATTCTAGATTTGGCGATTCTTAATTGCTATTTGATCTTCGTGTTTTGGGGAGTTTTTGGATTCAAGAAATCGAATTTTTCATTGATTCTATTCATAATTCAATTTCTACTTTCTCTCTCTAGAATACCCATTCAAAATCACTTGCTCTATCTACAAAAACCCAAGATCTTATCGATTGATTCGAAATGGAAGAACCAATTTGGGAATTGTGGTATGTATTGGAAGAAAGAAAATATACATATTTATACAATTTTGAAGAACTTCTATATTCTTTGGTTGTTGGATCGATCAACAGTTATTCAATCATTTCTTGTGGTGAAAAAGATGAAATTGGTAATGAGAAGAATAAAAGTTTGCTTGATCGATTGGTTGCAACTTATCATGATAGAAGATGGAAGAATAAAGAAGATGAAATTATTCAAGGAATTCGTATTGATGTTCCAAAAAGAGGTTTCAACGTTCTTCAATTTTACCCAGATGTTCATGAAGATCATAAGGTGGTTCTTGATGTTCTTGAAGTTCATGATAAGAAGATTCAAGTTCATGATAAAAAGAGGTTTCAACGTTCTTGATGTTCTTGAAGTTCATGATAAGAAGATTCAAGTTGATTCATGTCACACCCCCAAATCGGAACGACGGAAACGTTCGGGGCCGGAGGACGTCATGCTCAGTATCATAACCATAGTGAAGAAAGCAAACAAAACCATCATAAATATAATTTAAAAGGTTACATCGTTGCAAAAAATACATGTTTCCAAATAAATTACATATGATGCCAAAATAGTTCAAAAGAAATTTGCGCCTTAGCGTCTTGCATTCAAAAATCTTGTGGTTACCTGTATTACTGAATACTTGAAAATACAAGTTGTTTTTGAAAGAGTATCAGCATTAAAGCTGGTGAGTTAATAAGCAAATTATGAATGAAAAATGGATGTTGTTCCTTAAAGTTTGTTACAAGTTTGTTTCCAGAAAATCCAATATTTTCTAAAAGGTTTGTTGTAGTCTTAACTGAACCAAGACTTAGTATATGTAAGTAAATCGTCATACTTATGTGTGGTTTTATATTTAAATAATACTCCTTTTTGTGAAATCCGTAAATTCCCGTGAACTGTGTGTTTTGTTAATTCCCCATGTGAGTTGTTATAACCATGCTAAGACTCGAAGACCTCGTACTCGACGTTCTTCAAGCGTCGGAATGTTATGACACTTGTCACCCCAGACCTGCCGGTCTAGCTGTTGCAAGCAGCTTAGGTACGGGTTTTGTCAGACCCAATATAGATCTATACACAACTATCACGCTCTCCCTACAATAGATTTTGGCTATAACTACAGGACTTTTCTGTTGTACTTAAGAGTACCCTGAAGGTGAATGTCTCACAAATTTATTCATTAACATGTTTACGTAGTTTGTAATGAAATACCTGTTTTGGAAATCGATTGTATTACTGTTTCTTTGTTAAACGAGGTGTTCAAACTATACCAATTATAGTTTATCAAGAGTGTTTTATGTTTTAAATGAAACCGTGTTATGCATGGCTTTGTATTTCAATAAAATGACATTGAAAATACTAAGTATAAAATCTTACACACCTTGCTCAGCATGTTACAAGGTGTGAATAACTCTTAAACATGTTTTGACAGTTTTACCCTTAACTGTCACTGTTTTAGAGTATTTATAGAAAAATCATCGTAAGTCGAAAACTGAATCCGTAAACTCGTAGAGTTTGGAAAAAGAGTCTACTATGTTCATAAATTTTCCTATAATTTTTGGTCGTCTCAAACCAGTGTGAAAATGTTCATCTTCACAACCTGGTCTGATTTTGTTGCTGACTTTGACTTGAATTTGACGGTTGTCACATTTGACCGCTTTTGTGATCGGTGAAGATAGTGCACTTAGTTCTGTAGAGGTAATCTCTCCGGATTTTTAGGGCGAAAACTATTGTTCCTAGTTCGAGATCGTGCGTCGTATTGTTTACATCATGCGTCTTCAGCTGTCTTGAGGCGTACGCAATGACATTTCCTCGTTGCATTAACACACATCCTAGACCCTGGTTTGATGCATCGCAATAAACCACAAAGTCCTCTGTTCCATCCGGTAAGGACAAGATCGGAGCACTGCAATGAGTTCGTTTTAATGTTTGGAACGCAGCCTCTTGCTTATCCCCCCAGACAAAAGTCACTCCTTTTTGAGTCAAGGTGGTGAGTGGTTTCGCGATCTTGGAGAAGTTTTGAATGAACCTTCGATAGTAACCGGCGAGTCCTAAAAATTGTCGGATTTCTATGGGTGTTCTTGGTGCTACCCAGCTTTCGATTTCCTTGATCTTTGAAGGGTCCACATGGATTCCTTCTTTGCTGACTACATGTCCGAGGAAATTCACTTCTCGAATCCAGAATTCGCACTTTGAGAATTTTACGTACAATTTCTCCGTCCTAAGTGTCTCCAGGACTTGACGTAAATGCTGGCTATGTTCTTCCTTACTTCGGTAGTAGACTAGTATATCATCGATGAAAACAATCACAAACTTGTCTAAGTAAGGTCGACACACCCGATTCATCAGGTCCATAAATGCCACGGGTGTATTTGTTAAGCCGAAGGGCATCACTACAAACTCATAGTGACCATAGAGAATTCTGAAGGTTGTCTTGGGAGTATCCTCCTCTTGAACTCGTAGTTGATGGTACCCTGATCTAAGGTCAATCTTTGAGGAGAAACTTGCTCCTTGTAGCTGGTCGAAGAGGTCATCAATTCGAGGCAAAGGGTATCTGTTTTTAATGGTGAGTTTGTTTAATTCACGGTAGTCAATGCACATACGGAACGATCCATCCTTTTTCTTGACGAACAAGACCGGTGCTCCCCAAGGCGAGAAGCTTGGCCTTATGAAACCTTTGCTCAGCAGTTCGTTCAATTGACTGGACAATTCCTGCATTTCGGCCGGGGCTAGACGGTATGGCGATTTGGCTACGGGGGTAGCTCCAGGAATTAGGTCGATTCGGAATTCGACTTGTCGAGTAGGGGGCACTCCTGGAAGGTCTTCCAGGAATATGTCGGCGAAGTTACAGACCTCTGAAATGTCTTCGATCTTTATCGCTTCTTGTTTCTTGTCGATGATGTGGGCTAGGAAGGCGTGGTACTCCTGGCGGAGATACTTTTGAGCCTTGACACAAGAGATGATCTGAAAGTTTGAGCTAGGTTTGTCGCTATAGACTACGAGGGTTTCGCCATTTGGCCGATTAAGGCGAACGACCTTTTCGTGACATAGGATTTCAGCATGGTGAAGGCATAACCAATCCATGCCAATGATGACATCAAAATTTTTATCGTGACCGACATAAGGTCGATTTGGAAAGAGTGATTGTTTAAGGTGAGAGTACACCCGATGTAGATGTCGTTAGTGTTCTCTGTTTTTCCGTTAGCCATTTCTACGGTGAATGTGTCTTTTAGTGTTTGTGGTTTTTGTTTAAGCAAGCGTTTTAATTGACGGCTCACGAAGCTTTTCTCTGTGCCACTATCGAAAAGAATGCATGCGTACATATTATTGAGGAGAAACGTACCGGTGACCACAGTTGGGTCTACAACTGCTTCCTCATGACCTATCGCCAAAACTCTGCCCACCAGGGTTGGGGTTTCTTGCCTTCGGGCAGTTCCGCTTGAAGTGTCCTGCTTCTCCACAACCATAGCAGGTTCGACTTGCTCCGGCGTTGGCAGCTTGTGCATTTTGTTGGACTGGAGCTTTAAAAAATGGAGCGGTATGCCCCTTTTTGTTATAGTTGGTGCAATGCATCTCACGGCATGTGTTGTTGTGGTCAAAGTTGCACTTGTTGCACTTGGGTAGGTCCCGGCGTACTGCCTTATTGGAGTTGGGGTGCAGTGGTTGTGGCAGCGTGCACAGCAACCACTTCTTGCTTTTTGGCAGGGTCTTGAGCAGGTTGACCCTTCTTCTTGTTGCAGAACTTCCTTTTGTTGCTTCCCCCTTTCGCTTGCTCGGGGGTGGTTGTCACAGTTCCATGGCTGGCTTTATGGTCGATGAGTTGTTGTGC